ATGGGGGTTTCCGCGCCAACAAATCCCTTGTGTTAATCTTGCATATTTCATATACACTTGTAATTGTTTGCACACACGTGCACTATGTGTTTGTTTATTTTTGATTGATATCTGTTCAACCATAGTGTGCAAATTAGGATTTGAGATCGCAGTGAGCTTGATTACAAGTGAATTAATTTAATCAATCCTCATGTGCAAAATGGGTTGTGGTGTCTAAAAGGATTCTCACATTATTTGCTAAATCTTTATAGGAATAGATAATTGGGGAATTTTACATTTTTATTAGTAATCAATTGGACTAAAATTGAAAAAACTATTCATCCCCCCTCTTGGTAAAGTGTCTATTGCTCCACTTATATAATCGTGAGGTAAAATCCACATCGATTTTCCCTACCGAAAAAACAAGATCAAGTTGGTTCCACCAAAACGATCGAAATTTAGAAATTCATATTTCGAAATGTTTAGGAATGTTTCAAAGTGTTTCACAATGATTCAACCAATGTTTCTTTGTTTGCACTCTTTTCCAAAAATATTTTTGAACCATTCTCAAAATGTCTCTATTTCCGAGCTAATCGAAACAAAATTTTGATCCTAGGTTGGGAGTGAATGTTGCGATCATTCATGATGGTTTGGGAGGTGATTCAATCAAAAAGTTTTGTTGAGCACATAACAAGGTATGCTTAGGGTAAAGATATGCATAATATGTGAATTGAAGAAGAGTTCTTATGGTTCGAAAGCGACTCCTAGCAAGTGGTAGAAGTTAGGCCCTTTGATGCCGGGTAAAAGGTCTCACAAGCGTGGTGATAATTATGGTCAGTTTACAATGACTTGCTTCTTGTTGGTTTAAGCACAGGGAATATTCAGAATCTTTAACTTACAACAAACAAATTTCAAAATCTCTAGGCACAATTATTAAAGGAGTTTGCAATGAAGGATTTGGATGTTGCAAATCAAATCCCAGAGGTGCAAATTAGCAGAGATAAACTCTACAGAAAGAACAGTTTTCATAGATAGGGTACATTGAGAAGATTCTTGAGGTTCAACATGGAAGGTCTAAAGCTGGTTTGCACTCCTATAGCAAACAATTTTAGATTGTTGAAGCAACACAGTGAAGCCACAAATGAACAGGATAATGGCATGGCTAAGGTGCCATATAATTCAGTAGTTGGGAGCTTTATGTATGGTAGGGTCTGTACAATGTCAGATTCTAGTGGGAGTTATCAATAGACTCGTGACCCAGACAACTTGAATTAAGAAAGTGTCAACTGGATCGCCTTAGGTATCTTAGGGGTTCCAAAGATGTAGCAAGCACTACAGTGGCTCTGAGATTAGATTGCAAGGGCATGTGAACTCAAACCTGACCAGTAACATTGCTAGCAGGAAGGGCACAACTGGGCATGTGTTTACATTGCGTAGTGTAGTACTCTAACGAATCTTTTAATTCCAGAATATAGTTATCATCTGCATAGCTGAGACAAAGTATGTTACTGCAATAGATGCGTGCAAGGACTTGTTTTGATTATGGAGTTTTATGATGGAGTTTGGTAAGGAGTAAGACAGTTGCAAGTTGAACAGTGGCAATCCTTGGGCACTCCATCTTAGTTAGAACTCATCCTACCACACAATGACCAAACATATTGAGCTCAAAGTATCCTTTTAAATCTTCACTGCCAGAAAATAAGTAGTTCTATGCAGAGAAGATTCACTGGAGAAAATCCAACGGATATGTTTCGAAGGTGAATAGCGTAGAGAAAATAGATCATGTTTATCTTTTGGTTGTCTTCAAGGACAAAAAACAAAACAAAGGAAACCACAAAGTTACACTATACAGGTATCAGGAAAGGTGGATCAGCCTTCAAGTGGGACAATTGTTGAGTATGGAGCCTGGTCTACATTGTTAAGGAAGAACTCGACACTCAATTGGCAAATTAGGACACCCACCTGATGAAGTTCTGAGAAACAACGAGGTATGCAGAAGAACCAGATGTCCACTCCAATGATTCGAATGAAGAACCAGATCGCACATGCTTGTTTGCTAAAGAGGCAAATTTTGGACCCAGATAAGTTTTGGAGAAGGGGTGCCTCCTCACCGGGGCGATAGCTGTGACCAAGCCCCAGTACTGACACCCAAGTAAGCAATTGGCATCCAATTGAAACATAGAAAGCACATATTCCCATTGCCTACTTGATGATAGCAGTGCGAAAGTTCAAGACTTAGACGAGCGCTAGCAAAGCTAGATTCTCATAGCAAGGTGTTTCGAGTTAGAGCTTGTTACATTCTCTATTCCACGGCCATACTCTAAAGAAGCGCTCATATTTAATAGATTTTGAGCAAGTCCCAACCTTTTATAAGGCCAGTCCTATCTCTTTTGGCTACTTAAAATACATTTGCTCCAGCCACTGGGTAAGGGGGAAGTAAATTACCCTAGAGCGCTACCAGGCGACTTCCCCTGCCAATTTTTGCTCCGATGAAAGATTGGACAATCTATTAAATCCTCATTAAGTGTGAAGGATAGAGATGGTTTTAGAAGAGAGAATCGTAGATAGTAGTGGTTAGATCTACTACAATCAGTGGCAGAGGGAGGTAGGCAGGCTCCCCTTGAAATAAATAATTTTTTTTTTATTTATATATGTTATATATATTTTTAGTATAATTTCAATTGGACCCACCCAAATAAGTTAGATCAACCAAAAGTAATTAAATCAAAGAAGTTAGGTACAAGATACTGGAATGGAAAAAAAAAGGTCCAATTCCATAACAAACCTCTTGAACTCATTAAACCAAAAATAAAAATGTTGAGTCACAAAAGTCCTTAGTCCACTCCTTTGTCCTTTTCATCTTCTTTCCACAGATAAGAAGAGTGAAAAATAAAGGAATAACACCTCCAGCGCACCACTGCACAAGCAACATCACGTTGAAAACTTGGAGATCAAGAAAAGAAGGAAGTATTTTATTTTCTCTCCTTGTTGTATCTTTTGACTGTCGGACTATCGCAACTCTACGATTATAAGTCTTTGTTTTTGGAAAAATATCATTTTTTTAAAAATTCAATGTTTAACATAGGGTGCCATTGTAGTTTTTTCGCTTGTTAATCTATCAATTAGGTTGCAAATTTTTTAGATTTTATTGGTCCCTTTTGATTGTTTCTGAAAATTGACCCCAAGTCTAAACCTTTTCTGAAAATTAGTCTTTCCTTTTTTTTTCCCGAAATTTATTTGGTTAGCATAGTAAAATGTGTCAATGAGTCTTTGGTCAAATAGATTTTATTATCTTGTGAAGAATTTGCCTTGGATTCAAGTTCCCCTCCCCCTCTCCCTCTCCCTCTCCCTCTCCCAAAAAAAATAATTAAAAAAAATTTATAATAAAATGNGTTTTTATTATCTTGTGAAGAATTTGCCTTGGATTCAAGTTCCCCTCCCCCTCTCCCTCTCCCTCTCCCAAAAAAAATAATTAAAAAAAATTTATAATAAAATGTATTTTATGATGCTATTCATGTCTAAATTAGGTTATAGCTTTTAGTTATTTTTTGTTTGCATAAAATATATATATTGGCTTTAGACCTTTTTTATGTTTAATGAATCTTTAAATATCAAATATGATGTAAAAACTATAAATATATCACATTATTTTTATCTATTAGAGGACAAAGTATAATTTCTAGATAAAATTTGCCCATCCTAAATCATATTCCTGACTCTGTCACCGACTATTACCTTGGTGTAATGTTAAGCGGTTGTGCAACATGAAGAAATTGATAGCAATATTGGGATAGTTCCCAATATCTATCTTTGGTGTCGGCGGACTCAAAATAATTGAGCCCTTATGGCTAACCGCACATACTATTCATCGCGTCTATTGGTAGTCATGCATATTTATGTAGCNGCGGTTGTGCAACATGAAGAAATTGATAGCAATATTGGGATAGTTCCCAATATCTATCTTTGGTGTCGGCGGGCTCAAAATAATTGAGCCCTTATCGCTAACCGCACATACTATTCATCGCGTCTATTGGTAGTCATGCATATTTATGTAGCTCTCGAATCTAGCTCTATCATTTGAAGGTTCAACCAACTCCAACTGTTGATCCAAAGGCAGTTTTGTTAAAGAATTACTATTGTGAATGAAGAAGAAAAGAGAGAGAACCTTGAGCTACAAGCAACAAATTAAGCTAGCAACCACCTCACCGTGTAAAAAAAAAAGAGAAACAACGATAGAGCATTAGAGTACCCATTCTCTGCTTTTATTTGTCAAGTCAATCTTCCTTGGTCTCTATGAAGGTCATTAATGGCTCTTCGGTTGCACTCAAACAAGCAACGACTACTACTATGAGTAACAACTTTATTGTTCCAGTCCATTCAGTCTTCAAAATCTTTCAAACAAAGGCTTAATAATAATGGAAATGTCAAATATCCAATCTTTCAGGTTCAAAGAAGAGGCTCCAAGCTCCCTATTCCCGGGCCGCCTCCAGGCCTCCCATGAATCGAATGTACAAAATTTCCAAAAAGAAGACCGATACAACCAGCCTACTGAGATTGAATTTCTGACGTATTTTTAGGTTGTTTTGTGCATTTTACTTGGGTGTTTAATTCGGGCTTTGCATTGTAAATCTATTAGAATTAGATTACGACTCTGCATGTATAACCAGATACTGCAACATATGGGTTGATGATTGATGTAATTAGAAAATGATACACGAGAGTTTTGGTGAGTATTGTCTAGGATTTTGCTGATTGCTTGATGATTGAGTGATTTGAGCATGATCTAAGGATGACAAGTACTATATCTCTATTCCTTGGTTAATGCAGCGAGTCTAGTGTGAGCCATGGACGTACCTTGATTTTGNTCAGAAAATGATACACGAGAGTTTTGGTGAGTATTGTCTAGGATTTTGCTGACTGCTTGATGATTGAGTGATTTGAGCATGATCTAAGGATGACAAGTACTATATCTTTATTCCTTGGTTAATGCAGCGAGTCTAGTGTGAGCCATGGACGTACCTTGATTTTGGGGGATCCATATAAATTCTTTGTACATTCCTGTGATTTTGATTCCCTTTCCTCTTCTTGCTTGTATGTGTTGTAATTGTGGGATTGTGCCCCTCAATCCACTACATATAGGCTATAGCACAGTGGAAAAGTATCTGCATATACAGTTAGGGGTAGTGGTGAGGTCGAGGCCCAATACTAAGTGCCCATGATCAAATCAGGCGTGAATATGGACTTGCCAAATGGACCTTGGCCTTCTGCCAGCAAGTGATATGCAGGTTTNGGGGTAGTGGTGAGGTCGAGGCCCAATACTAAGTGCCCATGATCAAATCAGGCGTTAATATGGACTTGCCAAATGGACCTTGGCCTTCTGCCAGCAAGTGATATGCAGGTTTTTCCCCAACAACCAGATAGCGAGTACCTTAGATAGGATCCAGCAGGAGTACCTTAGATAGGACCCAGCAGGAGTACCTTCTGGAGATCTCTTCAAATTTCTTGTTCATCCTACTCTTATGTTTTCCCTATTACTCCAAGAGAAGATAAAGAGCCGAAGGGGCAGCTACCAATGTTTAGTTACCAGCAGGGGTGGACTCAGTCATTAATGACACACAAAACAAATTTGAACAAGCAAAGAAGCTTCATTCAAGCTTAAAACAATTCGCAACAACCTGCCTAACCAAAATATTTGAAGACTTTTTCAGGAAAAAAAAAACTGAATGATCAGTAATGTTAAAATGATAATTCTAATCTACAGCATGCTTAAATTGCAGTAGATGTGTTCCAATCACAAACAGTGTTTTCTTTTGGCCTAAGAATTCATTTAACTACTTCTACCCCTAAAAGGAATGAGTAATGATCGTCGCAATGCTGACAATCACATTTGATAATGTCTTGCCAGAGTCAGGCTTGCAACATTAGTACTTGGACTAATCCACCCTCTCCAATCACAAACAATCAAAATCATTAAATTGGATCTCCTGCGTGTCAAAGTTCAGCAAAGGTATTTGCAAGGTTGTGCACATACAATGCCAACTATATGTAGACTTACATAGTACAACCAGTTCTATGCTTTTTGTAAGCTTGTAATAGGTCTGCATCCAACTTCAATAAATAGTAGTAATACTGCTTGTAACCAATGGCTCAGAAGCCATTAACTGACTGATTTCTTGATTTGAATACTAGAAAAATCATGTTGTTTGCTCATCCAACCTCTCTAATTTCCATTGTGCCCAATGCTACTAATGCAGTGACTGGTATTCAAATCTTGAATCAAAATCATTTGAAGATGTTCTCATCAGCTCATACATATGATTCAAGAATAAAGTTGCAATCTTTTGATTGATAGTTAAGTTTATCATTATCTTTGGGGGCACAAATGCAAAAGAAAATAGATGGAAACAAATGAAAATTATGGGTGGCCCAATCCGCACGAAATTTTGCAGGACTTTGTAGCATCTACTTTGAGAGAAAATATTCATTACAACCATGATACCACGTGACAATGCTACTGTGGTATCACCAATCAATAATATCAAAACAAATAAGCAAATGGGTCCAACTAAAATTAATAACTAACCCTTCATGTAAGCAAATAACAACACACTTTTCCTTTATATAAACAAATAACTATCTAAGTAGGGTTCACCTTACGCACCTGTTGTTTTATTATTGACTAATGATACCACGTCAGCATTAATGACATGTTACATTCAATATTTACTCCTACTTTGAATTATCTACTTTTAACGTTCTCCCACAACTTTGAAACAAATTCAGATACAAGCATAGCAATGGTAACTAACAACTGATATGCTAATACACGAGAAATAAGCAATTATACAACATGTATCTTTATTTAATAAAACATATGAACTAGCATGTATTACCTTATCCATATTGGGTACAAGTTCCTGAAGCTTCCTTATTCTATCACTAATTCGTGTCCTCCGTACCTAATCCAAAGGAGAGAAGCATAGGCCAAATATGAGGAAACCATTGGCCTCTAATTCACAAAATACAATGCCCAGCAAAAAGAAAACTGAAAACTAACAACAAATTAAAAAACGCCAAAATTCTGATACCCTCTCAGCAATGCTGCGAGGATGAGTAGCAAAACCGCGCTTGGCACGAACCCGACACGGAACTGCATCCTCCAAAAGCTTCTCCATGTCAGCATCCAAGAAACCACCCATTCCATCATGTAACTGTCCACTTTGCTCTCCTTTCTACACCTCCAAAACACAAATGAATTGAAGCATACACATCATACATGGAAGAAATAAAATTTCAAAATTCATCACAATTAACTGCCATCAGTACATACTCATATACAGATATAAGTGTACACAACAATACCAACTGTTATAGCCAAAATACTACACAAGTTGGCACACAGGCTTATATACACATATGCTCATATAAATGAGTGAAATCAAATGTGAAATTCCATTAAGAATACAACAAATAAAACTCACATCTCTCTCTCTCTCTCTCTCTCTCTCTCTCTCTCACACACACACACACACACACACGCATACTTACCAACTGAGATGACAATTTGGCAGAAGGGTGACCTGAATCTTCCTCCCTAGATCGCTTGCCGGAAGGAGACACGTCGACAGACGACGAGATGTAGTCGTAATTCGTCGAAATCCCAAAGTTTGAGAAGTACCCATCAGACCCAGAATTGATCTGAGCCAAAAACTCCGCCGGAGAGCTGTTCTGGCGGAGAAAACTCGTGCCACCGGTCTCGAACAGCCCCTGATCGACGAACCTGGAGGTGGGCGTGGTGGCTGAGCTGGGCTGAGGAAGCTGAGACAAGGACTGGGATGTTGGCGGTGGTGGCTTTAGAGAATCGAGGACAACGTCGTTTTCTTCCTCGGATTCGAGTAAAGCTTCCAACCAAGTCGCCGGAGCTGAGCGGAACCGAGTGAGTCCACCTCGACTCAGTCCAGTGTTACCTCCACCGCCACTTGTTGGTTGCATTTGTTTCTCCCTCCTTCTCTCTCGTTCAGTTCTTGCAGGTGCTTTGATGTTGGTGATGATAGTGTTTCAATGGGGACGAAGGGATTCTCTTTCAACAAGAGTTCAGAGTACTTTGTTAAAAAAATGAGTAATTTATTAACCTTATGTCACGGATCATAGCACGTGTATAGTTATCAAAAGAACACGAATACATGATATGTGGAGTAGAATATCTTACCTGTATACATTTCTAAGTCCATTGACAGCTGCACTTAGTTAGAACAAAGTATAGACAAATTCTTATAATTAGTCCTAATTGAGTGAAAATTACTGCTGAATACATCCACGCAGAACAAAGTTGAGTTATATTTTTTCCTCGTAATAAAGGATAAAGGACTATCACATGTGAGTCTTTATTAGACGTGATCATAATAGGTCTCACCTACTATACTCGTACAAAGAGACTTAGATTAAAAAACATATACAGATACACTCTACTAATGATATGAGCTATAGTCAAACTTCAACACCATTAAATCATTAATAACAATTCAACAGTGTGCTACTTATAAATCGAACTTAAAACATAACTCTATCAAATATAAAGCGCTACAAATCAAACCTAACAGAGTGCTAAGCGCCACAAAATAAATTTGGTTAAATTATTATCTTATATGATATTTTTAAGAATGATCAAAATATTACCAACGATATAATAATTTCATTTCTTTTTTCTTGGGCGTATATGTTAAATCAATGATGGTAAATAAAAACAAAAACACCCACTATTTATTATCCTTTAAAGCATAAAAGACACAACTAAAATCTAGCAAGTACAACATATTAGATTAAAATAAATTACTAAGTTTTTTGAATATATTATCTTGTCCTATACAGCATTCCAATAGTACGATATTTTACAAGACTTTATTGTTAGATATCAATGATGTGCATCACTGCTTCGAAAACTAAATGTTAAAAATAGTTAGTGAAAATGAGATGGGCATGTAGTAGCAGATCACTCTCTCTTAACTGTAACCAAGCAATAACAATTATGTAGTTTATCTCAAATAATAACAATAAAATTTTATTGGATTGTGTTGAATTAAGTAACTTATGTTGTGTAAGTCGTTTGGAGAAATACTCTAATTAAACAATATTATTGAAACATAATTTATTACCTTAATTTATTAGAATTTTTGGATTGATTATAGACCCTATTAAATATTAAAATTTGGTGTTGATTTAATAATTCTTATAAAATTACATCATTAAATTAAATTTTTATGTTTAAATAATATTATTCTAATATAAATTCAACACAATGCACCGTTTACTTCCACAATAATTGGAGATTCAGACAAGCGCGTGAGCGAGAGAGCGTGTTGATCTAAAGTTCAAAATATTCAAACTACTTTTGGTCATTTTAACTACTGTGCCCTTGTTTGTACTCTTCAATTTATTTTTGCTTATTATGCCAAAAATAAGGAGACATAATTGGGATTGCCCTGTCCACACAAATGCAGGTGCAGAAAAAGTTGAATTAGCTGCATCCTTTCAACTTCGTTTTCAGCCAACTTTTTTAATGGGGCGCATGTGGTTGTGGGGACAGGGTAAGGGTTGACTGTTGAGTTCTATTATTTAAGAGAAATTGTCCGGTCTACCTTCCACCGCACCTATATGGTATTTTGTGGAAATTCTTTGTACACCGTATATCTTGTTTTCATTTATTTATTGTTGTTGATGGTAAATATAATAAATCCAAATAAAAAATAGCATATCAAAACTTTATATGTAGCTTGTTTGTAAAGAATTTTAGAATATGTGAGACGTTGAAGATAGAAAAATGAAACATAAAGAACAATATGATTTGACATATCATATCTATATTCATAGATCATATGCCACTGGGGCTACATAGATGTACTATTAATGGTAATTGTATCTATAAGGCTCAATCTTATTTATAGAGTTAAAAATAAACAAAATAGGTATAATCACTCTAACTTATCATCATTTTATCATAATTGTGGATATCGATAAATCTATATGGATTTTATCGTATCTCTAATAACTTGAAAGTGTGAAAAATAAAAAATATAGTATTATAAAATTATTTGACATGTAATTCCACGTAACATGTGACTTGCTAGGATTTGGTGACAAATAAAACTTATGACACCAAAAAATTATTTTTTGTTATTATAGTGGGACCCATAAATATACCAATACTTGTAATTTTAAAATTTTCTCTATTTTGATTTGAAGTTTACTCATAGTCAACACTGTGAGTGGGTGGTTTAGTGAGATACCAATTAAACTTCTTACATAAGGCTGAAGATTCGAGTCTTAGAGTCCAAATTAAGGCTTACTGATTGAACGATATGCTAGTTTAGCTAAGTTCATTCTCAGGAGGAGTAACGAGTGTGGTCAGGGGCCCCATGATCTCTCAAGTGAGGGCATATTGGGGTGGTCTCTATGTAAAACCTGGGTAAATTTAAAGTTTTTATGAAAAATGGCAAAATAGTAATTTTATCACTACGGTATGGGTTGTAAATCTGAATTTTTTTAGATCTCGGATGAAAAAACAGACCTCACCGTTGGATTCGTCTCGCGAAATCTGGCTACCCTATCAAATTTCATTAAATTCTGAGATAGTCGAATTTTTTACGTTTTACGAGACGGTCGAGTCTCGAATGACCCAAAAATGAAATTTTTAATAAAACTTTGAAAGTTGAAAAATAAATTGAGGCAAGTTAAAATAAAAATATTTTGAACTTAAACCGGAACGAAATTAAATCGTTTTAGGACGAAAATAAAAACGGGAAAAAGAGGGTCATGTGGCGAATTGTGGACCAAGCATTGGGGGACTATAAAAAGGGGAAGAAAATCAGATTTTCTTCCCCAATCGTTCACACGTTACCCGATAGAGGAAGAGAGGGAAAAAGTGAGGGTTTCTCCACTTCTCTCTACGATCTACGAAATTCTAGCGGTCGAATCCGCTCAGGACAAAAAGGAAAGTTGTTCTCCTTGAAGTGGGCTACAAAAACATACCAAGGAGGTCGGGTTTGGGCGAGATTCCAAGGACAGAATTTTTGGGAAGTGAAGATTCTAGCTTGAATCAGGTTCTTGAAGCTTCCCAACGTGTTTTTACGCTTCAAGAGGTAGGGTTCCCTCCTACTTTGATTCATTTTTTTCTAACCTAAGGTGTCATATGTTATGGGTAGGTTGATAGAACTTAACATCACTTGCCTATGGTTGTTAAGTTGATGGAATTGGGGTAATTGAAATAGGTAAAACAGATTCCTAGCTTGGAATTGATATGTGGAAATTAATTGCGAAATTCCATGGAAATTGGTATTTGTGGGCATACTATATGTTTAAATTATGCCTTGGTGAATGAGGTGTGTTATTGACATGTATTATGTGATAACACGCTTGTGGTTGGTTGTTAGATATGAAATGTTGATATATGTTATTGACATATTGACCTTGTGATAAAGTTTAGTAATTATATACATATGATATAATTGGTCATGGAACATGTATATATATGTGGTTAAATTTACTCATACGACATTTATTACATATGGGGCATGACAATAATATTGCAATGGTGAATTACATTACATATGCACGGAGGCATCACAATTTATGGGTGTGAGTGCATGTTTGACATCAAACACCATGTAGGTGGATGATGGGTCGGCTCAAAAAAGTTGGATCAAAGATCCGGCTGAGTCGCACAATTGCATGAAAAAAGAATTGGGTCAGGGATTAGTAAGAAGGGCTAGACTCTCCCTCAGGTGAGAGACCTAGTGATCGGATACGCACTCCGTTGGTATAAGAGTCCATAAAGTGTGTCGATATATGCGAAACCGTTGATGGAAGTCCATGAATTCCGTATCGGTTGGATGTCGTTGGTGTAAGTCCATAAATACCCACCCCAAGAAAGACCCAATTTTTTTTTAAATAGTCATTGGATAGGTATCATTAATGGTAGAGGCTAGGAAAGCCCAATACTCATGGCATTACATGGGGGAAGGGAACCAGTGAGGGCTCATCTTATTTCATGGCATGACATGATAGAAATTCCAACATTGATATTCTTGTTTTGGATGTTGTTGCTTGTTAAATGTTGCATGTGAGCATTTCATATGTATTTAGGTTGGGAGAATAGCCTCTGTAGGAAATACTCTAATAGGCGTGGCTCACCCTATACAAAAAAATATTTTAGGTGTGAGATTCACACCAACGGAGGACTCTCATTTCGAGCCCCAATGATGAAGATGGCCGACTTGTGGCTTTTATAGCACATTTTGTGTAATTTTTGTGAAAATTATATTTTGGGCATGTAATTCATGGAATTAAATGTAATAGAAGTTGTAGGGATCTTGTTTTATATGAAAAATCTCATTAAGCATGTGTTTGGATGGTGGTGAAATGGATTGAAATGGGTTGAGAGTCAAAAACAGGTGAAACAGACAAAATTAGACAAAGCTTATCGGTACAACTTTATCTAGTAGGCAAACCCTACTAGTAGGAATTTTCCAATAGGCAAACCCTATCGGTAGGAATTTTCCAACAAGCTCACCCTACCGGTATGCCCTATCGATTGGCCTTCCAAAAATTTGAAAATTTTAAAACTGTGTTTGCCATGCTCTTAGACCATGTGTCCTTCCTTCCAAATGATGTAAATGGACTACAATGGAGTATGAAATGTGGTACATTGGACCATGATTTGATCGAATGATAAAATGTACACAAATTACATATGTGGGTTATAATCCTGGTTAAGGGGATATTATTGACGTGACGTCGAGTTGTGCAACAACCACTGGTATTTCTGCGGGTTAACGGATAGTCAATGGTTAAAAAAGGACCCTCGATTTTTGGGCCGTCACACTCTGGGCACTCTTTTTTGNTGCTGGAATACGTGGCTAAGTTCACTGAATTAGTCCGTTTCACCAATGATTATGTGGCAACGGATATGACCAAAGTAAGGAGGTTGAGGATGGGTTGAAGTTATCCATATAGGGGAAGATTGTGGCCCACCATCTACAGGATTTAGACTCAATGGTCGANTCTTTTGCCCTCACCCCTTTTTT